TTCATTAAAACAAAAACAGAAAAAGTGTTGATCTATCCTGATATTGTAGATGTATAACCCGTAATAGATTCAAGATACTTAAACTGTAAAATTTGCTAATACACCTAAGTTTCTAATATTTTCTAAATATAAGAAGGTTTCGGAAAATATATATAGAAATATCAAGACTTGTAGGTTCTAATTTCCTACACAGTTGCCATAAAACAGTTACAGAGTTTCATAAATCCACACATCAACGCTGAACTGACAAATATTTCTGTGACTGCTTAAATTATACTCATGAGAATGACTTAGTGTACTTATGCGATTACATAAGTTTGCTTATGTGATTATTAAATACGTTTATAATGAAACACATTAGGAGAATATTGGATACATGGTTGAACCAATGTGTAGGGAGTGTAGCGTACACTAGCATAGCTTTTGTATATTTTTAATGCATGTTTTTACACATTCATATACATAAGCACTTTTTATATTTATATAATAGTCAACAACTATATTTCCAATAATACTTCATTCACATAATGTTCATTTATATATTTCTAAATTTATTTCCTTTTTTTAATACTTATATTTTTCATGAAAAATTCAAGGCTTTTACTTTTTTATTCAAGGTTTAGAAAAAGTTGTGTCATAACTAAATATAGTTCTAACTCAAATATATAAATATACACGACATTTTTATTCTTTACTGGCAATATTCACATATACTTTGTTTATAATTTTATTGAAAATATTTTAAGGCATAATTGCGTTTGTTAGTAGAGCGAGTAATCTAGTAAAATTTTGCTACTTTGATTATCAAGTTTTATTACAATCAATTATTTTATTATAATCAATACTTATTGAAGTGAATCTTGAGTTTCATATCTTTTTATTCATGTATATGAGAACGAGTTTAAGCAATTTAAACAGTTAATGTCAGAACTAATAATACCGCTGATCAAATAATACAAACATTATAAATGATCTTTATAAATATCGAATGTATTAATTATTTTTGAATAAGTCTAGTATATATATATATGTATATATTTAGTCTACTACAGTACATTTATACTTTGGGATAAATACATTAATTTGGTAAATGTTTCGCTATTCATGCAATAAGTATGCAATAACTAGCTAAATTTTATAGTAGATTTTCTCGTTATTATTTCACTTAACAATTTATAGAATGTTTTTACATTACTCTAGATAATGTTAAAAAGTACGTTTGTTTTATCTTTTCTATTTCATAATTCACTTCAAATATTATTTTTATTTTGAACATACATTCATTCTTGAATCATAATCATATATATATATATATATATATATGTGTATATAATATATGGGATAGTATGATATAAATAAAAGTTGTGTAAAACATATTAAATTAAATTAAAAATCTTGGCAGTTTTAAGTCAAAGTATTTTATTATAATTTCATATTTACAGTTATAGTATAATTAGTTCTTGTACACTCTTTTATTTGAAATTTGTTAATAATTAATACAGATGTATATTTTTTATCTTTTTTAAAATGTAATATTTATAACATTTATTTATAATTTAAGATATTTTATAGAATTAAATAAACAATTTATTTTAATGCAACTTCATTGGGGTTTGAATTCGATCTTTCAATATTTCAAATTTAAAAATAACTAGTGTTAATGCTTCATTAAATCTAAGTTTCATCGAAAAGGATTTGAGTGATACAAATTTTCATATGCGATATCAAAGAGGCGGACATTGAATTGAAATAATCATTATAGCGATTGGATAGATGCATGTAACTCATCCGAATAATGCTATTTTATTGGTAATAGTTTTTTAACTATCGAAAAGAATAAATATATTATATGCTTATCATATTTTTAGTATTTTATGTTATTTTTATCGTAGTTCAGCTAAATATTCATGTTCCTTATATTTGACATAATGCTTGATAATTTAAGAATCTTATTTAAATTTAAAAAATAGTGTATTAAAATAATGATATATTAAAGCGAAGTAATAAATATCTTATACACTAATCAATAGAAATTGTAATAATGAGTAGATAATGAAATAGAAATTTATTTTATTGATTGGTACATGAAATGTTATACTAAACAATTATTTTCGGGAATGAAGTGGATTTATAAATATGAAATTGTAAACGTAGATGTATTTTATTTTAAAACTTGCCAATTTTATGTCGGATATACTTATAATAATTAAAAGTAAAAAAACTCACTAGCTTTTCATCGATTCATCTATTTCTTGATAATTAATTGCTTAATAATTTTGAGTAATACAAAGCTAATTACTAGTGATTTATGCATTTATAACTTTTGTGAATTAAATCTTTCTGTATATACGTTATTATATATTCTGTTGTATAATTATCATTAAAGTTTAATATTCATCAACTAATATTATTATATTTTTTTATTATTATCACTTTATTTAGTAAGGAACAATGTGTTTGTATGTAAATATTAATCCTTGATTAGAAGAATCTGCTTCTGTATTTAAATTAGAGTTATGAGAATGAATATCTTATCTTTGTTTATTTCGTTGCTTCATTGGTTACAATGAAGTTTCGTATCAAATTATGTATTAAAAAACAATTTACTCTTTTGTATTTAATTAATACCAACCAGAGATTTGACAATCAATATCTATAATATTGTATAAAATGTCATTAACATTTCACAAACAATAATAAATTCATAAAATTGTAAAATATTACTTGTACAAATGAATAGAATAAATAGAAATAAAAAAATATATATGTATATATATACTATTTTAAATGGATAATTCATTACTTTAAAATAAAATTATATTTAATAAGTAAGCTATACAAAAACTATACATGAATTCAATTGCAAATACGTAATTTTTTATTTAAATTTTTAGTAATTAAGGATGTATTTGAAGTTTTAATATATCGAATTCAATATATTTTTTTGCATTTATTACAGCATAACGATAGTTGATATTAATATAGAGAAATTATGTCTAAATTCATAATATTTATGGAAATTATTAAGTGGATTTTTATTTGCATTAATATTAAAACAAATGTCAATTGGATGAATAATTAAAATAGAGAGATAATATTTATGATATTGTGTTAGTTTAAACTATACATTTCTTTATTCGTTATTTATAAACGATATCATAAAAGTACAACACATGCATATATTATTTTGTTAAAATTATCGAGTACTTTGAAGTGTATTAAAAATGGGATATAAAGGCTACTTTCTAAATGTTTGTAGATTTCTTGATAATTTTATTCGATTTATGATAATCTTAAACTTAAGAGCATCATTTGTTAGTTTTAATTTTTACTTTAAATTTAAATAATATAAACTACATCATTTGAACTCACTGTTTATAATAATGGTATTACATAACAATTACGAAAATATCACCGAAATCATCAAAGTTCTTTAAAATAATTTTATGTAGAATATTTTGCATTAAAAATCTAGACATAGGTTTTATTTGAAATATATTTGGAATTAAATTCTAATATTTTGAATTAATCGAAATTAAATATATATTTGAATAATTTATTAATCTCATTTGTTTACAAATACAATGTATTTTGTTTTAATAAGAATTGAGAATTTGATGTATGAGAATATTAAAAAATGTTATTGCATTTGATAAAAAGAAAATAAATTATTCGATATTCTATTCTTTTATAAGACATTTATTTATAAGCTCCTCCTACTTAAATTATAATTTATGGATTTAATAAAACTTACCAAGTTTTATTTAATAAAATTCGGTAAAAGTAATTCTTTATTAAAAATGTAATTTTCTTATATTAAAGGTATTATAAATACTTAATGTTAAATTAAATTAAGATACAGTTTTTTTAAATTTTTATATATTTAAATAAATAACATATATTATATTTATTTTACCTTCTTTTAATAGAAATCCATTTGAAAATTTAGAATGCATAACATTATTCCATCATTATTAAATATGTAGAAAAAATGTTATAATAAAGTTTATATAGTAATAATAGATAAGAAATTAAAAATATTTTATTTAATGTATATGTTTAACGAAATCGAATGTTTGCTTAATTTTATCTAACTTTATGAACCTGAGCAAAGATAGATTATACTAATTGTATTATCACAGTAAATTAATTTTCTCATAATTCAAATATTCAGTATTAAATAACAAAGTGTATTGAATTTACGTAAGATAAAGAAATGATATTCAATCACAAAATGTGTATTAAGAGATTGATCTCATTCTGTTAATCATAAATGTTTAATAATTTACAAACTTCGCTTTAAGCGTGTAGCTTAAAATAAATTCAAAAAGGGTTCTAAAAATGACAAGTAATATTTTTTTGGTTCAAGATTTTCTGATTATTTTTTTTATTTTACTTTATAAAAGTACTCGCTTCTCAAACAATTATCCTTACTTAATTAGTTCGTTATACAATAATCGAGTGATCTTAAGTTTACTAAAAAGGAATATACCTTAATTCTTAACGCAAAATCGAAACTAAGATATTAATTTTATCTTTCGTTTCTTTTACAATCATACTTAAGATAACAAATTTAGCGCGGATAACTTGCTGAAAAATGAATTATATTTTGTTTTTAAAAAGAAATAAACAAAATTAATATTGATTTTATAAAATTCATTTTACAAATATACATGTTTTATATCGGCAAAATTTTACAACACATATTTGCATATGCTGTTTAGTTTACAAATACTTGGAAAAACAAAGAACATGTCAGCAGTTTATAAATTCGAGACTAATAATTCTCTCATTTTATGCCTCTTTTTTCAAATTTAATTCTGCATTTGAATAAAGTTTAAGAACTGCAAGCTCATTAAAAAGAGTATTTTGTTATTTAGTAAATTAATGTCCATTGTATGGCATCTTTTATGTTGGTTTTTCACATTATAATAGAAGCAATAAGAAAATGAAGTGGAGCTTCAAAAGTTCAATAGTTATATATATATATATATATATATATATATATATATATATATAATGAAGGCAAAAGATCGAGCAATGCAGTTATTATAACAAAAAGTCCCAGAGCCATGTATGACTCTTCCACACTTCATAGGATAAATATAGCAAATATTAACATATGGAAAGTACACAATCTCAACGCACAAGTTGTTTATACTTGTACAAAACATTCTTTTAGCTTTAATTTTTAATATTAATAGCAAAACTTGAAATGATGGATATTATTGAGCGTGTACGCATTCCTGTGTCTATCCCTGTCCTTGCATTTCCCATTATAGTGATTCCAGAATAGCGCATCTAACGATTTGCACCATCTACTGAGACAGTAAAACAAAGAATATAAAGTTAAAGCGAAAGAGAGAGAGAGAGAGAGAGAGAGAGAGAGAGAGAGAGAAAGCACGAGTGGGTGGATGATGGGAGGAGTATAAGAAATAGCATGGAGAAGAAGGGTTAGCGGAACAGGTAGGCTGGAAGTGGTGTCAATGGGCATCGGAAACGAGAATATGTTTCCTTTATTTTTTCGTATTTTTTCATTTTCTTTGTTCGTCTTGTTTTATCCCTTAGGATCTGTGGACTTGCCTTCAAGAATTTGCGCCTTAAGATCAATTATCCATGGCATATCGACGCGTCCATTCTTTGGCGTTCCGTATCGCCTCACTCTCATTCACCTTCCAGAGCTCGGCCACGTCATTTGCTAAAGGATCATCTGGATTTGGAGCGCTAAGCAGCGCTTGTATCGATAATAAAACAGTTCGTATTTGCAACGCTGGACTCCACTTATCTTTCAGGATATCCAAGCAGATTCTGCCAAGTCTATATTGTGAATTAAAATAATCAACTGATTTACTTTGCTATAATTTTGAAATGCATTTATTATTTAGAGCTTTGCAATCATTTTGTATCACAGATTTGCATTGATAAAAAAATATTTTTAACATTATATATTATTGATTATATGTTATTATATATTAAGCAATTCATTTCAAAACAATAATTATTATTACATTGTAACGTGAATTATTTTAAAACTGAATTTGCAAAAATCCTTTCAATTACTATAATTGAAATTAGTAATTGATATTATTAATGCTAATATGCTATATATTTAAATCTATGAAAGTTTTACATTAAATAATTGATGATACACTTATTATTTATGTATTAATAATTAAAAGTATAAATATGTTGAATTATATAAAATGCCAGTGTGGATTATGAATTTTTTATTAATAAATGACTTTAGAAAGGTAATTCAAAACTTTTGTCTTTAAGTAATTTGTTTACATTCAGTACATTATATCGTTAAAGATATAAAATTAAAATTTTAAATATATATGATTGTTGAAGATATTTTAGTTTTAATAAGACTTTTTAAAATAAATTTTTTATTTGAATAAACATAACAACAAATTAATTAAATGTAAATTTAAATGTAAAAATTATTGTTTAGAATATTTTTAAATTCATTTTAATGAATTTATCAGAGATCTAAAAAAACTTAATTATAGTTATAGAAGAGATAAATAGCTTTACCTATCAATATTAGGATGATAGATCTTTGTAATAAATCTAACTTTTGGTGCAGACATCGGATAATCCTCTGGTAAAAACAACTCTAATTTAAATAATCCACCTTCAAAAGGCGAATCTTCTGGTCCAGTGACTATTACATGAAAATATCTAGCATTAGTGTCATCAGGCACTGCACTAATACCTGGTACTGGCTCCTGCATAAGCCTTTGCGTCTCTTTAATAATTCTTCGTGGCAATGCAGCCATTTCTGCGTTTATTTAATATAGTCTCTGAAATAAAACAGACAACATTTTTATATTACAATTATTTACATCAGTCGATAGTAATTTTTATTTAAGAACAATTCATCATTTTTGTTACTTTTTTCCAATTAAATCCAAACTCTTAGTATACGTTCAAAAACAGAATTTTAGTAAAATTATATATATTTTTGTAAAATAAATTATTGAATCATGTATAATTGGATTTGCTAATTTCAAAATTTTTGTTTTATTGACCAAATATTTATAATAACACGTAATAATACAAATATATTTTTTAATTTTTACAATGTATCAATATATTTTATTACATGCACCTAGGAATTATGATATTATCCTTATATGTACACATTCATATTCTATTTAATAGATATTTATCAGTATTGTTGATTATGATTATTATTAGTTATTTGAGTTAATGATACACATATATACATTTATAAATATATTTAAGATAGCACACATACGCATGTTAACAGTATAGAAATTTTTTAAATAGGTTATGTTGCATAAGAATGCACAATTAATTTTTAAAAATTTTACCTATGCTGTATAAGTATTAATATAAAAGATTGACAAAAAACTATTAAAATATATTAAAATGAAAATTATTTTAAATCATTTTAATTTGAATATGATTATATAAACTACTAAAACTTCTTAAAAATCATTCATAAGTGTAAATATTAAAAAATTTTTAAAAGCTATTTTGATCTTTCATGTAAATAGAAAGTAATTTTTTTAAATTTTATTATATGCATAGATATTAATATTTAAAAATTTTAAACTTAAATATTTAATTGTTATTATTTTATGAATCATTTATGAAAAATGTACTTATTTTATTTAAATCATAACATAAAAATACTAACAGCTTGAAGAAATTATTTTATGATTTAGACTGTCCAAGTTGATTGATAAAATTAATTACTCAGATATTGTTATTCACATAAATAAAATATCTGCATGCACATGATAAAAGGTGAGAATTATATAAATTATTATATTAAAATGCAGAACACAATGGAACTAAGGTTATGCCTAACTATTCAGAGTTTATTGTAAATTTTTTAAATATTAAAAATGTTCCAAATTATTTGTATAATTGAATATATATGTATATATATATATATATATATATATATATATATATATATATATGTTATTGTGGATTATTCAGAGAATGTTCAAGTAAATAAAATAATAGCTAGAAGCCCTTGAATTCAATAAGAAATACTTTTCACATTTCACAAGATAAATGAAACCTTGGATGCATGGAAGTAGTACAAAGAACAATGCAATAATTTGAGAAAACAAAGATATCTGCAATACTGAAACTTGAAACAATTGAATAGTAAATTGCAAATTATTCTAATCCTCGCATAACTTGTATCCAAATTACTTTTCCACTAAATTTCAAATCAGCTGTAGAACTTCTTAGTAAATCACAAGACACCTCGGTCATACATGTGAGTACAAAAAACAAAGAATGAAAAAAAATCCATTAGTAATAGGAGTCAATACGATTGAGAACGGGACTTGCCAACATATATGCATGCATATATATTGGGCGATCGTAGTTGCCGAAGTTTTATACATCATACCTTAACAAAAATAATTTATGTCTTCGTACCCGTTGCTTCTTCCGGCGTCACCGTCGCCGCCTTTTATTTAGACGTTTCTCAAAAATGTTTTCACTCACTTCTTATCTCTTTTTCTTCTTCTCTTCTTCACTCACTTTTTTCCTCTCGCTCTCTCGCTGTATCATCCGCAATATCTTTCTCCCTGTGTTTTCGACTTCGACTATTCCTTGTTTTTCTGCTCTTCGCACACAGTTTATCAAAAAAAAGCTTTGGCAATTACCCTCTCCCCCTCTTACACACATGTACTCAATCTCTCTCTCACTTTCTTACATCCACACACACATGCATGCACGCATGCACACAACACTCTCTTTTTCTGACTGACTGACTATTTTTCTAAGTACTTTTGTGTCTTTTCCTCTTTCCACTTTTGTAAACCGATCGCGTGCCTTCGATATATCGGTCTGTCTTTCTTGCTCCTTTTCTTTTCAGTTAATTAGAACTGTGGAGATTAAAATTATGTGCATGGGCAAAGTGTAAAGACAGAAGAAGCATGAACGCGCAAGAAGTGTTAATTCGTTTTGCTGAAAATTCGCAACTTGCACGTAGACAATATCCAGATATACTTACTGACTCTCTCTCTTTTCCTTCGCTTAGAATTTGTTTTCTTTTTCTTATTTCATCGGCTTACTCATGTACGATGTCGAGCGCAGCGTCTTGCTCGCACTACTGGATAATTTTGAATTTTCTCCTTTTCTGCCCTATATCGGTCTCTCTCTTACTTAAGTATGTTCGCGCGTTTTTGGTAAGTGATAAATTCATATGACGTCATAGAAATATAGGGTTTGTACTATCCTCGAAGTCTGGGAAATTTAAATTCACCGTAATTTTTCAACACTGAAATGGACAGTCGTTATATTCCGTATCTTTTGTGTTTATTGTCTTTTCAATTTATAATTCATCTTGATGTGCATATCTCATTGTTAAGTTTTTATATGTAGTGAGATTGTTCTTTTTTAAATATCTACGATTACATTATGATTGTAAAGGTTTACAAAGCGAAGTTAGCTCAAAAATCGTAAACTGGATAAAACAAAATAACAAAAATATTTTTACAATATATTAAGATGGAATTTTTCGCCCTTGCTTTAAAATTATTCGTATTTTTAATGAAATAATGCCAGAAATTTTAAATTTATATTTATTTTCTATTTTTAATTCGATTAATGTATATATATATATATATATATATATATATATACGTAATAATTTTCGAATAATAAAAATAGTTATCTGGATTATTCTCTCTATGTAATTTCTCTGTTACTTTTAATAATTGAAATTCCTTCAGTATAAATAAACCTGTTTGACGTGTGTTTAAGACTTCGAGTTTATAGAGTTGCAATAAGGAGAAAACAATTGCCACAAGCACGCTCGTAGTGGCAATGCGACGAGGGATCAAAAATAACTTTCACTCATTGTCATTTTCGCCAATCGTCAGTATTTGCTTCTGTCAAAAATGTCAACCTTGCCGCCTTTTTACTACTGCCTGACTTTGGTCTATTGTTTGCCACAAATAAGTAGCAATTAAAGCACAGGAAATTACCCTTTATAAAGGTAAAAACAGTGAATTAATTTTTTTGTTTAATTTTTTGTCGAGTTTTTGAGAAATGATAACATAACCTAGAATAGGTACACTATTCTGTATCTCAACGACACTTTTTTCTGGTTCCTTTTTTCTGCTGAAACGTCAAATTGCAAATTAGGCACCCATGTGTATACATTTCCAAATGAGAATTTTTGAATGTATAATGATGGAGCTTTTATTTAACCATATTCATAATTGTCCAACTTTAGAATCAGATCACGCAAAGTAAAAAGTTAATATAGTTAGTAAACAAAATAAAATATTGTACCTTTTATTAAAAATTTCCGTACAATTAATGAAATTATAAATTTATGAACATGTTAAACTAACATGTCGCCTTAATACAAAATATTTTATTTGTTAAGTAAATATTATTTATTGTAAATTTTATAATTTAATGAATTTCAAGTGTCCAGATGTTTATTAGGTTTTAAAAAATTTTGCAGCAAAGGCTTTTATAATTTATAAAAGTCACCAATTTTTATATTAGAATTGTGTCATAATGATATTTTTAAAATTTGTAGGAATTTTTTATTATGGCAGACATAAGATTACTCGTGCAAGAAGAAGGAAGAGCAGCTAGAAATTTGATAGCATTCAATGTACCATTAGAAACCGATGGTGTTGAAAAAGTTACTCGTAAGCCACCAAGTGTTCCAAGAGTCTTACAATCAACTGCCACTAAAAGATCGATCAAAAGCAGTGCTAGGGTTCGATCAGCTTCAACCGGTAGAGATAAACGTTCAGGTATGTTACTCTTATAGTTATTGGTATGTCATTACTATTATGGCAATTTTATATTTTCATTGCAGAATTACAAGCCAGATACTGGGCTTTTTTATTTGGTAACCTTCAAAGAGCTGTAGATGCAATTTATGAGACTTGCGAGGAGGATGAAAATATATCAGAGTGCAAAGAAGTGATTTTAGTACTAGAAAACTATACCCGTGATTTTCACAATCTTATAGAGTGGTTTAAAGTCAAATGGGCATATGAAACATCTCCACCACCATTACGAAGAACACCGTTGGCATGGGAGGTACGCAAGACCTCACCATGTCGTGCTTGGAATTCCACAATGCCAACTAAGCAAGGTAGCCCATTACAGAGAATAAGCCCTACGAGTCATGTAGAACAGGATATCATTGATAAGGTTACTAATATGGATAATAAGACTGATTCAATCATCAAACCAGATGCAACTTCAAAGAATCTGAAGATCGTTAAGGATACTAAAAATCAAGGTTCAAAAAATGAAGGTGAAGTTCATTTTTAAACAAATAAATTTTGTAATGTTTCTCGATCTAACAATTAGTTAACTTATATCAAATATTTGTAAAATACATTTATAATGGTTAAGTTTGAAATTTTTCAAAATTTTTTAAATTTAATCATTTTAATCCGAATTATTATTTTTGCTTAAAGGAAATTAGTTACTTGAAATAAAACTAGAATCTATACCTAAAGATTCAAAAACTTTTATTTTATCTTTTATAACTGTTGAAAGTAAGCGTTGTAAAGTTAAATTCTGTTGTTACTCATACATACTGAATGTCTAGTTTCAGCTAAAGATACAAAAGAGAGACCTATTTCTTCTAAAGCAAGTTTTAGAACGAGTGTCTCAAAACGTGCGTTGTCAACTAAGGTGCAGGAAAATGAAGTAAGAGTTTTAACCGAAGCAAGTATCAACGGGTCTAAAATTAACGTTGATTTAAAAAATGGGACTGTTACTCGTAATATCAGTCGAGCACAACAGTCGAATGTGAATCGAACGAAATCCATGGAACCCTCATTTTTTAATAATGTCAACAATGAAAATAACGTCGATGATATGACAATGAAGAACGATGTAAAAAAGGATCTTGAAGTAACAAAAAACCAGATAAACTCGAATTTAAATAAAAATTGTATGGCAAACGGATTAAGGTATATTTTCTAACCACTTTTATAAATTATAGTATTAAAAGAAAGCAGTGAAAAATTGTAATTTATTGAATAAATTATATTATTATTATTATTATTATTATTATTATTATTATTAGTATTAGTATTATTATTATTGTGTATTTATTTAATAATTAATTATCTGTGAATATATAATATTTACAAGACATAATTAATAATATCGTTTAATTAATAAATAAGAATATTTAAATTTATTCGAATAATTCACTTGAAATGTAGAACTAGAAGATCTTATAAATAAAAACGTAAGGAATGATGAAGGCAACTTTCTCTCGATGAATTATCATAGGTCGCCGAGCAAATCGATGACTGCTTTTAATTCTAAAGTAAAATTGAATTCTCCAAGACCGGCCTACTCAACAGTCTCAAGGATGAAATCCTCAATGAGCAGTTCCATAGTAATCCAGCAACAACAACAGCAGCAACAACAACAACATCAATGAGCAGTTCCATAGTAATCCAGCAACAACAACAGCAGCAGCAACAACAACAACAACCACCACAGCAGCAACAACAACAACGACGACGACAGCAGCAGCAACAGCAGCATCATCATCATCAGCAACAGCAGCAACAGTACCGCGAGGAAGTACCGGTAATGATGAGGAGCAAGACGACACTCTGTGTGAAGGGTTGTGTAACGTCGAATAAGATGAAGCCTGGAACGTCGGTTATCGTTAGAAGGCGGATGCAAGCACAGGGCGAGGTGAATTTATGAGTTTGATTGACGTTGGATCAATGGTACGCTATGAGTTGACGTATCGCTTGCAAGATTTTAGATACATAAAAATAGGATTGTAAAATTCGGTATCCTATTTATCAATAAATTGAGGGATATTGTTTAATCTATTTAAGCAAGTTTTTCGTATTTTTGTCTTTATACTGCTATAATGAGTCTTGGAATTGGAAAAAAGTGTACATTTGTATTGAGATATATTTTGATTATAGTCGCATTTTGTTGGTTAAGTATTAGTAAGAGTAAGATTAGGCTTATTCATAAGTTACTAATGCAATTTTAAAAATATTCGTTTTGTCCGCTAAAGCATATATTTACATTTCAAATCGTAAAACTTTTGTTGCACCTGGCTTTAAAATAATAATCTTTATTTACGTCGAGTGTCGACTAGGAAGCAAAAAATAATATCAACAAAATTCGTAAACATTTGAAACAGAGCTCGAGGGGTGCGGAGAGTGGTGACATGAGCGCATCTGTGGAGGTGTTGAGCTCTGACGCTAAGACCAAGTCAAAGGATTACCAACAGCCCAAGGAGGACGTGGACGGGTGGCAGACGGTGCGCAGCCGTTGTCGTCGAGGTAGTACTCACAACCTGAACATGTCGACGAGGTTTCATAAGCCGAGTACGGCTACATCTCTGCCGGCTCTCTGCATCGACTCCCCGGCCGAAAAGACAAAGAAGAGCTGCTTTACCCCGGACGGCAACGCGAGACAGAAGAGGCGAAGCGTTGGCGGTAAGGTTGGTAAGAACGTCAATAACGAGGCAGAGAAGGCCAAGCACGACGTTGAGGCCGAGAAGATGGGGCTGCGCGTAGGGAAGATCGCCAATGGAGAATCAAAGGTACGAAAGGGCCTGTTCGAAGCTCGCGCGATGTTAGACATTTTGCAAATTTATTGTACGAGGCGTAGCGAAGTGCTTAGCGAATGAAGAACCAGTTTGTGTGTGTGTGATAATCAGACTCGAC